TCAGGCTGATGTGAATGCTGTTTGTTTAGCAGGTATTTTGTCATAAACCAAAAGAATTATAATGTTGGTCTAATGGTGGTGCAACATGAAACATTAAAGATTAATAAAGTTATTAGAATTCATCCTGAAGGGAACATGAATACAAGAAATTTCATGGCAATCAATCTGATAATCCGAAACCACAAAGCCAGTTAGACCTAGAGGAAAAGTCAGAGGATCATTAATGTCAGTAGGATTCGTCCTCTGGAGGACATGAGTGTCTTAAACCTGCATTCTCATTCATTCCAGCAGGGGGCAGCAACACTGGCTGCAACAAAAGAAGTCTGATAGTATCGAGTCTTATGGAGAAATGAGCCGACTTCTCAGTTGATTTATGAGCTCAGTAAACAGTTTCTGATGAGTTTATGGTCTCATTTTCTAGTTTCAAGTCTTCTTCCATATAGCATGATGTTCATGTAGTAAAGTATAGTCTAATTTAGAGTAAAATAGACTTCATAGATTATTTGGTAAAGATGCTAACTTTAGGCTAGCAGCTTTAGCCTACCTTATTTTAGCACAATATCACATATGTAGCCAGAGAAGGGACTATTTAAGAGACTTGAAGGTTTCTTAAAACAAGGCTTGAAACATTAACAAGTCGTCCGCTAACAGCAATTCTCATGGCACTAACGTTGGCCTTATTAGCTTGCCTCCTGTCCCGTAAAAACGTCATAAACATCAGACTAGAATCAGTGACACCTGAAAGGTAAAAAAAAAACATGTGAACGCACGCCGCTTCCCCCCGTAAGAGGAGTCAGCCTGAGTGAGTGCGAGCGGCCGGTCAGGAGGCGGCGGCGGCGTGTGACAGCACAAATGACTGACACAAACCGTGAGGGAGTCGGACAGATGAGAGCCACAGGCGCTGGGAGCTGGTGGTGGTGATGGTGGTGGGTGGTGGTGAGTGGGGGGGCATATGAGGGTCAAAACATCGCCTGTGCATTGAGTGTGTGGCCCAGCAGCTGTATGCATAGGGGAGCCTTGGCCTCCTGCTCTGCATGTCAGGGAGGCCGTGATTAATGACCCGCAGGCCTCGCTCTTTACCCTCCTCCTCCTCCTCCTCCGCCACCACTGCTGCCCTCCACAGAAGCCACTGCAGCTCATTTAGCTCACGGACACACAAATGCAGGGCTTTTTTGAGTACAAATGAAAAGCAATTTCCCCCCCACCTCTTCTTACAAAACACCACTTGTGTCATTTTCAGGGCGATAGCGATGAAGGTTTGTACGGCTTTGCTGTGTGCCTTTTTGCGCAGCGTCGAGGCTGAGAAGGGTTGCCCGCGCCCCGTGTACCAGTTCCCAGCTTGTCAGGCAGCTGTCGAGGAGTGATTTATGACCACTAGACTCCAACCTGTCTTCGCTGCCAGCTCAGTATTGTTACAACTGACAGCTAATGAGGCCAGACATGCTTTCAAGCAGAGCACTTAACAGGACTTCAATCTTCCCCCGTCACAAGTACCATTTTTGCACTCTCTCACACAGCAGACTCCTTTCTCTACGCCTTCCTTGTTCCTTTTTTTCTGTGGTGGAATATCTGACATGCCACTGAAAAGGCAAAGCAAAAAGCCATCTTTGCACACATATACATATATATATATATATATATAAACTGGGTATAAGCTAATGCTTTTAATCTAATACTCAACCCTTTTTACCAAGCTGTGAAGGAATAGAAACACCACGTCTGTTCTTGCGGACAGTCGGACGAGAAGAATATACGATACCACACTCGTGTCTGCGCGCTAAATATAAAGCTACAGCCACGAGGGGGGGTTAGCTTAGCTTAGCATAAAGACTGGGAGCAGGGGGGAACAGCTAGCCAGGGCTCTGTCCAAAGGAGAATGAATCCACCTATCAGCACCTTTAAACCTGCATTTATTTGTAGTTACTTTACAGATTTAAATGTTTGGTGTAATTTATTTTGAAGGTGTATTCTTTAAGAAAGAAGATTTCTTGTAAAATTTGGTGCTAAATATGGTAAAAATGTAATTTCCTTGAAAGAAAAGCTTAATTTAAACACAAATATTTATTATTTTTAATGTTTTTTTTCTGACATATTCATTACTCATACACTGGAATTAATTGATTCTTAAGTGTACCGATCGGAGACTGTCAATAAATTACTTCTTTCGAGGAATAATAAAATACACTTTATATAAAGAAATTTGCTCCGACTCAAACAGCAGTTTCCAGTTTTTATGCTAAGCTAAGCAAGCTGCATCCATATGAGTGGTCTCCTGTTGAACTATTCCTTCAACCTGAAGTATGAGGACCATTTTGACCTCGCTGTGACCATTTAAAGCAAAATACTGTGTGTGTGGGTGGAAAACGGCATTATGGGAGCATTTAAACTGTTGACATACAGTATATCTTATGATCAAGTAAAAGGCTCATAAATTGTATTCAGCTATTAATGGTTATGACTGTTTTGAGTGTAATTATATTTAATAAATTGCAGTAATTATGAAAATATTGTTTTTTATGTCAAGGTACATCAACCCTGGTCTCATTTACCTGGCAGAAGTGGAAAGTAATGGAGTAAATTTGCTCAAATCTTGTACTTTTTTACAATTTAAAGTATTTTTACTTTACTTGAGTGTTAAAAATTTACCTAAATACTTTTTTTTACTTCACTATATTTATCTGACAGCTGGATTTAGTTCACAGATTAAGATTTTACATCTAACAGTATATAAAATGTGATATTGTGCTATTAAACTGTATATAAAGTAGTTAAAATAAGCTCCACCGCCACCTTCTGTGACTTTAAAATGCTGCTTACATGTTAAAGCATCACCAATAATACTCAAATAATATGATAAATAATAATATAACTCACCAATCGGCCCAATAAATACATTTTACTTTAATACTTTTGAGCTTTTACTGAGTAACAGAGTGTTTTTAGAGAGCGTTACTGCTACTTTTACTCCAGTAAAACCTTTGATTTCTTGTTACCAACGCTGTTATTTGAACATGTGATCCAGTAAACAAACTCCTCTGTGTAGAAACAGAGTCTCTGGCAGCTCTCGAACCTTTAACCCCTCATTCCTTGTCAGCCGTGATTAATGGCAGCCTAACTAGCTGCTAGCTTGCATTGCCGGCTGTCTCCTGGATACTTAATGAACTCTGACAAGTCTTTAAAACTGATGTTTTTCATTAAACGCTGCAGCAGCGACACCTGGAGGCTGAAGGAAGGAAATTATAAATAAATGTTTTAATGAGGTTTATGAATAAAATAAGCATGTAGGCTGATAACTCTTAAGTTTTTTGTTATTTAAGGTGCAGATTTATGGCCTCAATCTGACAATAATAATATAAGTGTGCATGTTTTAGACATTTAATACTTATTCTATATTCCATCAAAAGTAAAAGTCAAAAAGCTCAATGCTCAACATCTGCTGCAGATGTTGTAGTCAAAAGAATATGTTTATTAAAGAAATAACTTAAGAAATTAACATTTCTAACAAGAACTTTAGAAAAAGAGAAATAAAACATGGAGTCTTGGATTTGTCTTTATATATGGTGGATATATTTTTATACATGCATGTTGTCAAGCAGTGATGGAGACTATATTTACTGACAATTATTGAGGTACTTTTTCTACTGGACTATATCCACTATTATATAATATACAGTCGATTTCACACACATAATATGCCGAATTGTGAATATTAACCCCCGAAGATGACAGAAAGTAGTTAAAATTAACTGTAACATTAAAATGGTGCTTGTATATTTCTGAAATGTAGAAAGTAAAATAAAATGTAAACAATTACAAGTATGTCAATGGCTCGGGATCAATAAAGTTTTATCTTAACTTGATAATAATCCTTTTTTTTTATCTGTTTTGATTATATTTTGTATATTTAATATGATCGAATAAACGTAATGGAGTAAAAAAAAAGGACATTTCTATCTGAGCTGCGGAATAAAATAGGATAAGTACCTGAAAAAAGCACCTGAGTAACTTCCACCACTGCATTTATATAATAATAATTAAATAATAATAATGATAATCTTCCAGCTCTGTTAAACCGTGAAACTCTGCTGCCCTCTGCTGGAAATCCCTCTCAAATACACTCTGTTGTAACTGATATCTGAGGGGATTTTTTCCCAGGTTTTCTTGCAGGAAGTTGACTAAAAACAACAACAATAATAAAAAAAAGTTTGGAAACAGAAACTTAAAATCTTGTCACACCTTTGACGCAGTTTGGAGCTTATTACGCAAAGCTTTTACGCAAACGCGTGCGGGCTTTCTTCTTAATAAAGTATTCCCCCCTTTACTTATTTAAACTCTGCCCGGTTTATTCTGACTCTTTCATGGAGCAGCAGGGGTTGGGCCTCTCTCCTTCCCTTCCCCTGTTGTTCCTGATGTCCTTCCCCACTTTTGCTCCCTCCCCCTCTCCCAGCTCCTCCTCTGTCGGGCTGTTCGGCTCCATCGAGCGATCTTCCCAAAAAACTTTCCGTGCCAAGAGGTTTTTTGTTTCTTGTCTGCGTTACATTGAGACACTTGGAGGCCGTGCAGGGAGGAGAGTCGCGTTCATAAGATATGACATATAAGACATGGTACTGATGACCGAGCAGGCGGACAGACCTCTGACCCCGTTATCTGCACCGGAGCAACTTTTCAACAAGGACTCCCGAGGGAATCGGTCGACGTAAGTGTGGATGCGATGGAGAGGAAGGGCCCGGCTTGCTGAGGCTGATTTTAAGGCCTAATGCATTGTGGTTATTTGCACGCATATCCTGCTTTAAATTAAAGGGCTGTGCTGACTTTTTGATGCCTGAGACGCGGACGTGGCACAGATCATTTGCATCTAGAAACTCAGGATGACAACAACTTTTCATACTATGTTGTAGTTTTAAATGATGGCCGAGCTGCTTTGCATTACCTTGCTTCAGCACACACTATATTAATGTGTTATGACATGAAAAGAGAGACTGTAAACGCCTCTTTGGGTTCCATGTGTTCAGGTCTGAAGTGGAGAATGGAGGTGAGAGGAGACAGAGGTGGCCTGGAAGGTCACCTGCGGACCTCCACCTGTGTCTGGACACAGAGTTGGACCCCTCAGAGAGCAGGAAGAAACCCAGCCTGAGGTGAAGAAGGTTATGTTGTCGCATAATAAACTGAATGCAGACGTTACAGCAGTGTTTTTAGTTATTTAATGCAGGATTTGCTGCTTTCTTTTGTTTTATTTTACTTTAAATTTATTGTATTTGAGTTTTGGACTGTTGGTCGCACAAAACAAGACATCTGAGGATGTCACTTTGGACTTTTTTCCACTATTTTCTAACGATTTATAACAGAAATGAACATTAATTAAGAATAAACAGTTTAAACACACATAAGTTAGACATTAGTGCAACATTTAGAAAAGCTTTTAAAATGAATGAAAAATAATCTTTAATATGACCAAATCTAAATATTTTGATTTATAAATCTGAACTTTTAAGTCTTTTGGGGTCATTTCTTACATGAAAATACGACAGAAATCATAATAAAAATTCACCTTAAGTGGTATATTAAAAGCTGAAAGTATGACTTAGTAACATCCTAAAGAAATCCAAAGAATATAATTATTATTATCTTTAAAAAAACATGTCTTACAGCTCTATAATTCCACCTAAGGACTGCACACCTGCACGACCAGAGTGCTGTTTACAGATTTTGTGGTTGCTGTGTAAGCAGCTCTTACATAACCACAGCTGACACCATGCAAAACCCCCTAAAATGAAGGACATTTACTTTTTTGACTAATACATTCAGTCTGGATCAGTAGACGTAATCGTGTGTTTTTTATTATAAGTTATAACGCTGTATAACTGTAGCTGATATATCCTTACCTGTCCCTTTCTCCTTGCTACGTAAACATATAAACACCCTTTTTATTTGCCAGGCTAAAACCTGTGGAGCAGCTTTCGCCGATGCTGAGTCCAGGCGACTGTGAAGCGAAGTTTGAGAGGAAGAAACCGCAGCCCAGCCACGTACGTACACAGTCTGATTTACACCAAACATTATACATGTTTATGCACGGTTTAAATGCCTAATAAAGCAAAAATCTGTATTTGTTTTCCAGTTATCAAAGCCAAATGCACAGTATCATAAGTTATTCAAGGAGGTCAGCAAGGATGAGTTACTCAAACAAAGTAAGTTTAAGATTCTCTTTTCATGTGAAGCAAAGAAATATATAATATATTTATATATAATAAATTGTGCCAACAGGTTATACTTGTGCCCTGCAGAGAGACATTTTATATCAGGGCAAGATGTTCGTCTCCGATAACTGGATCTGTTTCCACTCCAAAGTCTTTGGCAAAGACACCAAGGTATCACACTGTAATAAATAAAGATATTGTTTTGACTTCATGTCTGAATTCTCTGGTTTAAATATGTTTTTTTTATCTCCTCTCCAGATTTCAATCCCTGTGATGTCTGTGACGTTTATCAAAAAGACTAAAACTGCATTATTGGTGCCAAACGCTCTTGTGATTGAAACCAAAAGTTATCAGGTAAGACAGTTCAGACAATCAGTTTGTTATTCTATTTTTAATCTAAACATGAAGGCGATTCTACATTAACTTACTGTTTTCCAGCATGTGTTTGTGTCCTTTCTGTCTCGAAACACCACCTACAAACTTCTGAAGTCCATCTGCGTTCATTTGGAGGTAAATAACATCTTCTATAAAGCACTTATTCACCCTAATTGAGCTCATTTTACTCAATAATTAGTAATTAAGTAGTAATTGAAGTGGGTTTTATTTTTCAACAAAAGGAGGACATTTTTACATATTTTAACACATTTTTTAGAAGAAATAGTGTTGGAAATTTAGATTATTTCTAGTTAATAGTGATCCTAGTTTGATATTTGATTGACAATGAAGACATTATCTTCAGAACCTAAGAATTAAATTAGTCAATAAACTGAAATTTTGATAAAAATTAAACATTTTCAGGTTCCTGCTTCCCAATTTTCTCTTGTTTTATATCACAGTAAATTTAATATTTTTGTATTTTGGATTGTTAAACACTGAAAATGGAAGAAATAGCTAGCTTGAGTCTGTCTAAAGGCTTATACCCCCCCTGTAAAACCACAACGGGTCATTTTTACACTTTGTACAGATTAAATATAATGTGTTAGGCAGATTTCATTAAGGCTAGCTGTTTACACTCTTAATGCTAAGTTAAGCTAACTGTCTCCTGCTTCATATTTAGCATAATAACACAAGATTTGTATTAATCTTCTCATTTAATGTTGGTGCTCATATATTGTTTAAAAAAGTAAAATGTTACTGCTACGAGCATCTACCAAATCAATATTCATTGAAATACCAGTGTACTTAAAGGCAATCACATATTTTGCCTCATAACAAGCCTTTTTTTTATGATAAAACTGACAATGTTAATAATATACTATGTAGTCAAATTCTTTCATCATCCACTGTAACACACGGTAAATTTCAACCTTTTCTAAGAAGTTTGTTGATTCAAACACAACTGTCCCATTACTGTTATTTAAAGCCAAAAAACAAACGCGAAGCAAATATAACAACCAAAACAATCCCAAATGTAAATACACACTACCTATAAAACAACTTGCACACCTCAAACTTAACCGTATTATGATACATTAAAATGTTACTATTAAACCTGAATACAATAGCAGTGATACAAAGTCGTAGTGGTCTATCAAATCATTTTCAATAACACTTCAACTTGAACTACATACATCATTTATCGAGTGCAATGTAGAACGCCTTCTTTTCCTAGATAACAAACGCCTTACAAGACGAAGAGACAAACTGAATTTAAAATCTGCACACAAATCATAAGGTAATCCTCTACATTACAATTATAGAAATTATTGCTAAACCATAAACCAAAATTGATATAGTACAAATAAACAAAACCAATATATGCAAAGGATAGCACTAATTATACACAAAATAATAACAATACAAAACAAATCATACACTATCTTTATATAAAGTCTGTCAAGACGATGAGATCATAAGACAACTCTCTAGAGTGAAACCGGAAAAGTCCCAGGAGAAACCACCAAAGAAAAAATAGCTCTCCTCTCTCTCTCCCTGCGATCTTTAATCTCAATGTCAATGTGCCTACTGAAATGGATGAACATTGATAGAAATGATAATATCTGGAGGTGTTAAATCCTATACGCATGATCGATTGTTGCAGAATATAGTCTATTATTAAACAGACTGTCAAAAGATGTTTTTTTAAGACAGACTTTAGCAAGATAGAACGGCGACCAACGGGGAAAACACCCAGAAATGCAAAATTTATCTGTCATATAAATACTCATACGACTGATGATTTAAAAATAAGCGATGAAATGGAATTTGGACAGATCCTCACTACTCTTACCCGCTCGTGGATATCTCCTAAACCAAAAAAAGTACGGTACATTCATCTACCACAACAAATTTGGATGAGATAATCATAAATCACAAAAACTTTATAGTTAAAAAGCTGGGTGTCTCCTCGAGACAATCATGAAACTACCAAATGTCGAGTAAAAAACGGAAACTTGGACGGTAACGGCTTCAGACGCAGAGAACAAAACATACCCAACAAAAACCAAACCCAAAATGAGCCTACCTCCTTGACACAACTTTCAGCTACATTCAGGCTTCGATATGGCCAGTTCATCAGGGAGAAACTGAATGAAATTTTTATTGGAGGTGACAATTTCCTCTCAGCCCATGCAGAAAATAGCAAGCAAAGAGAACAAAAGCTCAACAGGTTGAATTTCAGAGGATCCAAAACTGGAACGTGAGAGCTGCGTTTAGCTCCTTCAGATCTCTACGAACCAGTAAATGCTCATCTTCCCACAAGGCGTTCTGCATGCAGAAGGTTATGATCATTACCCCCGCCATCATGCTTGATAC